GGGGGGAGGCCCTTTTCACCCTCCCCAGGCTCCTATAAAGCCTCTGGAGCCTGGGGAGGGTGAAAAATGGCTTTAAAAAAGGGTGAACTCAGCTGGCATGCGCTGGCCAGCTGACAGGGCAGCGCCTCGCATGCCTTGACAAATGGCTCCGCGTGCCATAGGTTCGCCATCACTGTCCTAATATGAAAGACAAGAGCAACTACAAATCAGTGCCTTCAAAATCAGATTGTTGTATAATGACTGAGGGTACTGAAAGTTGCCATGATGTTTTTGAGAACTGAGTGAGCTATACTCCTCTAATCCATTTCCCAGCATAGATTGTGCTTTATGATTATAATCTATGGTGGCTGCATGATCCAAAGAAAAGTTCCATTTGCTTTCAAAAATTGCTCCAGATCACCTTTCAGAAATTTTATCAGTCAGGACAAAAATGCCTTTGGTACAAGCACACAAATGATCATGCTGAAAATTTAGCAGAATATGATGCACTCAACAATGCAAGAAACAGTAATTTGAATGATTTCTACAGCTCGATTGCTTTTTTAAGTGGTTTTAGTTGTCTCTAAATTTAAAACAATTATCAATTAACTTTATTATATGGTATTTTAAAAACTTTTTCCTGAAAAAGCAATTGTGCTTAATTTGAATTTCAGATGCTTGCATTCATAATATAGAGTTAATTATTAGTTTTGCATTGCAAAATAAACATTTAATTCAATTAGGAATCAGATGTAGCTTACATCCCTACCAGTGGACTTGGCGGTGAAAATCTTGTTACAAAAAGTCAAACAAGTGAATTGGCAAAATGGTACACAGGAAAATGTTTGCTGGAACAAATTGGTAAGTATATACATCTTTGAAGTTTTGAAAATTGTTGCAAACACAGTGCCAATAAGCCATATTACATTCAAGTAATATATATATATCTGTTAACACAATATGTATATATATATATATATTGATTTATTTACAGATTCTTTCAAGCCACCTCAAAGATCAGTTGATAAACCATTCAGATTATGTGTATCAGATGTTTTTAAAGGTATGTAGTCTTCCTAAATGGGTTTACAAAAGATGTTTGTTAAAGTTTGGATAAATCTTGTATGAAGGTGCAAAAAGGAATGAAAAAACAAGTTGTATATTATTTGAATAGACTAAAATTGTTAGAAGAAAAAGGAAGGAATATAAAATTGATTTATTTGATCAAGGTTAAAATAGATTTGTCCTTCCTTCCTTCCTTCCTTCCTTCCTTCCTTCCTTCCTTCCTTCCTTCCTTCCTTCCTTCCTTCCTTCTAATTCATATTAGACTTTACTATTGCAATTATAATCTTTAATAAAAATATTTTAAAGGTCTCACCAAATGTTTTTTGTAAACAATTTACTGGAGTTGTGTAAAGTATCTGAAACAAGTGTTTCACAAAAAGAATGTTAGAAAATGCTTCTCTTTAAATCATTTACGCAACAATATTCTTTGCAAGATTTTGCAGCTATTTCAAAATCTGTCCTTGATTATCTGTTCATGGTAGCACAGTGTTCCTTGGAATGTTCTATTCATACAGAGATATATTTTTGCACATCCCTAGAGACATCTGGGGATAACGTTCAAATCAGCTGTCACACTTTACAAAGGACATAATTTTTCTAATCCTTGACTGATCATTTAGCCAGCAGACATGCAATCCAGCTCTCTTTATAAAACTTTTTTTTTTTTGTATAGCTAATCCCTAAAACTTTCTAAGAACAATAGGTTGGCTAGGGGATTCAGAGCTCATTTTGGTGTTTGTGATAGCAGCACAACATTATTTGCACACCATTAAAAATTCCATATATCTATTAACAATTTTTGGAATGATACTCCTTTGAAAAAAAAATATTTTCCCCAAACAATTTCACTATGCATAGAAAACAAACACATGTAAAAGTAATTTGGATCTTTTTGTCTTAATTCAGTAAGATTAATTCTGGTAGTCGTTTGGTTATGATGGCAGCTGGGACCAGAATTTCTGTTGCCAAATGATGCAGTTCCAAAGTGCACCATCACATGACAGTTTCACTTAGCAACAGCAATTCCAGCAGTCCTCATTGCTGTTGTAATTGGAGGACTCCGTGGGTCATTTAAGTGAGGATCTCATGTGATCATGACTTCTGACTTCTTGCAGGCTTCCCCATTTACTTTGTGAGTGGGAAGTCAGCAGGCAAATCCTAATCATGAACTGTGCATGAACTGGATGATGATGATGTGACTGCAGGGAGCTGTGATGGCTGGAACTCTTAAGAAATGGTCATAAGTACCGTTCGTTCCGCACCATTATAACTTTGAGTGGTTACTAAACAAATGGTCATAACCCAAGAAGTGCTTCTATAAACATCCTTAACCATACTTGAACAAATGAATAAATCTGTGAGTAGACTGGAAGCAGAAATTCCAGCATAGTAACTTTATTTCAAAATTGTTTACAATGTGTCAAATTGTTTATGAATTGTTAAAACAAATTGTGTGATCCTGTCTCAAAGTAAATAATTTAGGTATAATATTGGGGACTAAAAGTGTATTGCAAAGAGCCAAATGTATGTCTGTGTCTTTGAGTCAGCATTGACTTCTGTGAGTGTCTGGACACAGGTCTTTTCATTTTTCTTGGCAAGATTTTAGCAGTGGTTTGCCATTGCCTGCTTTCCATTCCTGAAAGAGAATGACTGGCCCAGGTTTACACAGCAGGCTTCATGCCTAGGGTGGAATTAGAACTCCCAGTCTCTTGTTTCTATCTAGCCTGAATGAAGCCTTAACCATTACATCAGACTGGCTCTCAGAAGGCAAAGTGTTATTATTTTATTTTTTATTATTGAAAGTTTGAGATAAAATAAAACAGAACAGAACAACCTACAACCGGGATGGCAAACCTATGGCATGCGTGCCATAGGTGGCACGCGGAGCCATTTGTCAGGGTACGCGAGCCTAGGAAGGGCGAAAACAGCTTCCCCCGCCCCCCTCCGGAGGCCTCTGGAGGCTTCAGGAGCTTCCCTGAAGCCTCTGGAGCGCAAAAAGCCAGCCCTACGGGCAAACCGGAAATTCAAGAATGGACTTCCTGTTTGCTCGTAGGGCCGGTTTAAGCCCCCCGGAGCTTTCAGGGGCCTTCTGGAGGCTTCCCTGAAGGCTCCGAAGGACGAAAAACGACCCAATGGACAAACCGGAAGTAGGGATGTTTTTACTCCTCCGGAGCCTTCAGGGAAGCCTCCAGAAGGTCCCTGAAGGCTCTGGAGGACTAAAAACGGCTCTATGAGCAAACCGGAAATGACTTCCAACTTGTTCATAGGGTGGTTTTTCGTCCTCCGGAGCCTTCAGGAAAGCCTTCTGAAGGTCCCTGAAGGCTCTGGAGGACTAAAAACAGCCCTATAAGCAAATTGGAAGTTACTTCCGGTTTGCTCGTAGGGTCGTTTTTCGTCCTCCAGAGCCTCCAGGAAAGCCTTCTAAAGGTCCCTGAAGGCTCTGGAGGACTAAAAATGGCCCTATAAGCAAATTGGAAGTTACTTCCGGTTTGCTCGTAGGGTCATTTTTCGTCCTCCGGAGCCTTCAGGGAAGCCTCCGGAAGGCCCCTGAAGGCTTTGGAGGGCTTAAACCAGCCCTACGAGCAAACCGGAAGTCCGTTCCAAACTTCCAGTTTGTGCTCCGGAGGCTTCAGGGAAGCTCCTGAAGCCTCCGGAGGGCCTCCGTGGGGGCAGGGGAGGCTGTTTTTGCCCTCCCCAGGCTCCTATAAAGCCTCTGGAGACTGGGGAGGGTGAAAAAAATATGCAAAAAATGGGGAGGGGTGTGTCACACCTGTCATGCACGCATGCACACTGGTGTGTGTGTCATGCATTGCACTATGATGCGGCACACCCATGCATGTCCCCCTGCCCTCCCCCCGCTTATGGGCACACGAGCCAAAAAAAGTTCGCCATTGCTCACCTACAATGAACCTCATCCCCTTCAGAGCCAGTAAACATAGTCTGAAACAAAGGAAGGAAGAGAGGGAGAGAAACATGTATAGCTAAGAACACAGGGGAAAAAATTCTGTAATTGGTGTTCAGTTTTCATTATAAAGCTAATCTGATTAAGTTTTATTCTTTTGAAAACTAAACCTTTACTAGTCTTGAGTTAAAATCAATAGTATTACTTTATCTTCAGTTTGCTTTCTCAAAACAAATATATTTTGTTCCAGATCAAGGATCAGGATTCTGTGTAACAGGTAAAATCGAAGCAGGATATGTCCAAGTTGGGGAACGACTCCTTGTCATGCCTCCTAATGAAACTTGCACTGTAAAAGGTATAGTATATGGATCGAAGGTTTTTTTTTCTTGGATTACACAATAAAGAGTTTCAGAAATTGGTAACTAAAATTATCAAAAGCAAAATCTTATAGATAATCCTTGACATATGACTACAATTGGGATTTGAATTTCTGTCACTAAGCGATGTCATAAAGCAAGACATCATGTGACAGCAATCCTGGCAGTCCCAGTTGCCATTATTAACAAAGAACTGAGTGTTGTTAAGTGAATATGCACCCCAAGCCATCCTGGGCTTGGCCCCTCCAGCTCTGCCCTCTGCCTTGTTGGATGGCAGGCAGTTCCAGAGCCACACGGCACTGGGGCTGCTTGTCATGGTCCAGGAAGCTGCAATTGCCCCATCCCTCGCTCTCCTGCACTTGGAGACCCTGCTGCCCTGTGCTTCACTGGCCCAACTGGCCTTTTCTGTGTTCTTGCTTCTATTGCTGTTGATGCATGATTGGCCTAATATTTAAAGTCTTTTTAGATTGGTCTAGAAATTTTATAATGACATACAAAGGAAATAAATATTTTCATGGTTATATGTATTTATTTAAAGTATATATTATGCTTGCTAGTCTTTTAGTTGTTCTGTTTTCTGATTCTTTTTTCCCTGTGAGATACATAGGTTTTGCCTTTGTATTTTTGTATTTTTTTGTATTTTTTACATTATGTACTTAGTGTTTCTTAAAATTATAAGATTCTATCCTAATTCTTCGACAGAAATGTTTTGGATAGGAATGTTTAAATGATACACATGATACTAGAATGAAGCATAACATTATAATTCAGCTATCAATAAATGTGCAAGAGAAAAAACAGGTTTGTATACTGAATTAACGGTATGCATAAAATAAATTAATTAAAATTGAGAAGACATAAAGAATGGGTCTCCAATCTTGGCAACTTTAAGACATGTGGACTTCAACTCTCATAGTTGAAGTCCACACGTATTAAAGTTGCCAAGGTTGGAGACCCCTGACATAGAGTTATATCTGCTTGATTTTTTGTGTCTAGTTTACCTATCCAGAGTTTATTCAGAAAGAAAGAAAAAAGGATCTAAAGATTTCTGTATGAGATTTCATATTTGCTATCTGGTTATCTGTATATCACAGAAACTCTTCAATTATACTTTCAAATAATGAAGGGGGTTTTAGAATACAATTTTGTGGCCTGCATTACACACATGTCCACATGAAAAGACACACAGAAATGTTTTCACTTATTTGTGGAAAAATGAAAGCAGATAACTCAGTCTAAAAAGCTGTGGAGAGCATACTTGTTGTGTTACACCCATAAAAGCCTAGTGCAGTGACTTGCAGAAAACCATGAATAAGCAAAATATTTATATATAATAGAGATATGTGAAAATAAAATGTTTTAATATCACTTCATTCATATCACAAGCTTTAATATCACTTCATTCATACTGAAAACTGAGGAATAGCAGTTGATGCAGCAGAATTGCAGAAACAGTTTTTGTAGCTGTTAAACCAAAGTAGTTCACTATTTAGTACTGGTTTTACTCATTTCTAGGAATTGCTCTACATGAGCAGCCAGTGGATTGGGCTGCAGCTGGAGATCACGTTAGTCTCACTTTGACTGGCATGGATATCATCAAAATCAAGTGAGTGCAAAATAGAGTTTGACTAAGCAACCGTTTATGTTTAACATAACCTCTTATAACCGTTGTCCCTGATCATGAATGGTTTACCAGATGCAGAAGAAGCATGTGGGAAGTTTACCTGCGTCTTTCCACCTAAAATGGTGCAGATTCACTAACTCTTGCAAAATGCAGTTTGAACTTGGCAGTGTTCTTCCTAATTAGATTTTGCCAGTTGTTTCACTAAAAAAACAAAACAAATGAGGGATACTTCACAATTCCCTACAGTATTCATCTTAATCTGCAGGAAACCATATATAAAGTAACATACTCAAAAATACTTAAATAATACTGGTGTTTAAATTCTTTGCTGCTGAATAACAGTTACAGGCAAGTAAGGAATAGAAACAGGACACTGCTACTGACTGAAGTAAACAGGAGAACTGTGTGTATCTCTAATGAGGTATTTCACTCAACAAAGTTTTGAGTGAAACACTCCCTCAGAGGTGCTTTGTGATGCAGCAGGACTATTTTGCTTCTAAGAAATAGAGAACAAGCTATTGTTTGTGGAGGACCCACTACATTTTGGCAAGCTTTGTAGAAGAGATACCACTCACTCTTTCAAAACATTGGACAGGTGCAGGAGCTGGTATCCTACTCTGCCTCTTTCAGACTTCTTGCCAAAAAGTTTGGGAGAGGAGACTGGTCTGGAGGAGGTGAGCTGCTTTGACAAGTTGTGTGGAGGAATGTGCCGAACTCCATATCTGGCACAGATTGACATTTGGTAAACCATGATAGAAAATGTTTCTCTGCCTGCCATACTATGTCCCCATGTCGTGCAGTCAATTTGCACGTGAAGCCTCTTCTGAGTATTGTATGAACTTGGTACGAAAGAGTCAGGGCTTTAAGCAGCTGCACAAATTCATTTTTAACCTCCATTCTTTCTCTTAGTTAATGTATGTTTTCTGTAATAATTATGAACTTAAGGGCACCCTTTGGCTCAGAGGAAACTACCTGCCACATCAATTGATGTGATCATGTGACCTCCTTAGACTGATAATAGCATTGCATCATGGTATCACCACTCAAATACGAATAGTCCTTGCTTATTGACCACCTCATTTAGTGACTATTCAAAATTACAACAGTTTGTTGCAATTGTCATTTTCTGTTTAATGACCATGGCACTTAGCAGCAGAGTTACATGTCCCAATTGTGGTCACTAAGCGAGAACAACCTGTAAAGTACACTTACAAAGCAAAGTAACTGAATCTATCCTTTCCCACAAAAGTATAACAAGAATGTATTCTTGCCTCACTGTTATTTAATTTATGTATTAATGTCATGACTGATAGTTTTGCTAAGGCAAAATTTCATCATCCCTTTCTTACTCAATATCCTGTCCCCATTCTTCTGTATGCTGATAGCATGGCCATTCTATCTGTAACATGTATGCTGATGCTTTAAACCTTGTTATTTTATTGCTTCAGGTAGCACTTTGAAATTAATTATTGTAAAGCAAATGTTAATGTTGACAGAGGGCAATAGGAAGGGAAGATTCTTCCAGCCTTGTTTTTTGTCTGGCCCATAAACTGGGCTAGCTGATTTATGTTATGGCATGTCATGGTATCATTAAAATATATAGCGAGAGTCATTATCAGTGTATATTTCATGTGTTACTCTGTTATCTCTTGCAGTGTTGGTTTTATATTTTGCTGTCCCAAGGAGCCAATTAAAACCTGCACACGCTTCAGAGCTCGTGTTCTTATCTTTAATATTGAAATACCCATCACCAAAGGATTTCCTGTGAGTGTAGAATTTGTTAGGGATTTCATTTATATTTTAAGTATCATTTTCCTACCTTTTAAAATGGACTTACGATGCCAAAAGAACTTTACATGCCAATGTTTTCTTGCCATTCTCAGCACAAAATAAGAGAGATAATAGCATTCTAGGCGAAGATTGAGACACAGGTAATCCTTAACTTAGCGCAGCAATTGTAACCGGATTTTCCTTCATTAAATGATGCAGTCATAAAGCACAATCACTTAGCAACAGCAAGCTCTGGAGACCTAGTTATTGTCATCAACCAAATTTTACCCTTGTTAGGTGAGACAACTTTCTGCTGGCTTCCCACAACCAAATCAGTGGAGAAGCGAGCAGGAAGTTGCAAGTTCCAAGTAGCTTGCAATCACGTTGCTAAGGTAGGTAATAGGTGATAGGTAAGTGGCTGCTGACAGAGTGGAGGCAGGAGGGTGTGTTTGAGGTTGTGAGGGAGGCTTGGGGAGGTTTCGTGTGAGGGAGGCACAATGAGAGTGAGTGAGTGAGGGGAGTGGGTGTAAGGATGAAAGTGAGGTGCAGTGAGGTTGGTAGGATGTGGAGGCACAGCAAGGCAGGTGGTGTTCTGACCCAGCAGCACAAATCCAAGACCTCGTCCCAATAAACCCCTTTTATTTAATTTACAGTGAATTCCTCTCTAGCAAAGTCCTGGCCCCCAGTCTTTCAAGACAGCTCACAATTACCGACCTTTATCAGGCTTGGAGAGTGGCCCACCGATATCTTTCAGAGTCACAATACTTGGCAAGAATGCAGGAATGAATTAATTGTCTCCTGCAAACACCCCTCCCCTTTCGCTCCTCTTTTATTCCCCATGGGAGATGTCATTCCCTGTCCACCTGTGGCTCTACTCCTTGTTACTTAGCTGTTCCCTTTGGCAACTCTGCACATGTGCACACTGGGAACAGGCTCCAGCTGTTTGTCTGCCTCACTGATGTCTGACTCTAAAGGCAGCTGATAACTGTCAGATGGCCCTGGCCCCCTCTCTGCCTCTGACGCAAAGCACTTGTCAGAGCCTTTCCCAAACTCCAGGACTGGCCCATGTTCCTCTCCAACCTCCTCACTGTCAAAATCTGCTGCCAGCTCTGTTGGCCGGCCACAACAGGTGGGAAGGCGTCAGGGAGAATGTGCAGGGATGCACGAAGCTTAGGAAGGATGAAAAAGGTGTAAGGGGATGTATGAAAGTACGAGGGAGATGAACCAGGACTCAGGGAGGGTACAAGAATGTGCCCAAGGGTGTGAGGGAGATTTGAGGCTCAGGAAGGGTGTGTGAGAGGCACGATGAGGCTTGGGAAGAGTAAACAAGGGGACATGGGTGGTCAATGAGGCTTGGAGGTACACACAGGTACACAAATAGTGGGGTAGCCATGGCAAGGTGCAGGGTGGATGTGCAGAGATACACAAGTGGATGGTGTGACGTGAGGCTAGAAGGGCTGCGGGAGAATGGATGGATGGATGGATGGGGAGACTTACCTTTCCAGCTTCCTCAGTGACTTTCTCACTGTGACTTCCTCAGTGACTTTCAGAGGAAACTTGCAAAGAAAATCTCAAATGGCACACATGATGGCAAGGTGCTGCAACTGTTCGTAAATGCAAGCTGGTTGCCAAGCACACAGATAGAAATCATGTGACTGTAGGTGTGCTGGGATTGCCAGAATTCTAAGGACTGGTCATAACCATCATTTGTTCAGTGCTACCTTAACTTTATTCACTGACAGAATGGTTGTAATAATTCAGAAGAGTTTCAAAATACAGATAAGAGAGAAATAAGGAAATTGTAACTTTATATTGTACAATAAAATACAAATGTAGAATTGATCAAAATCTCCCATTGTCTTTTTATGTTGTATTCATAGACTTTTCTTTTTCAGGTAAACTTGTATTTTGTCAATTGCTGACAATGTCAATTAAAATTAAATTTTATTTTAGGTGCTCTTACATTTTCAAACTGTAAGTGAGCCTGCTACTATTAGAAAATTGCTGAGTGTGCTTCATAAGAGCAGTGGTGAAGTTGCCAAGAAAAAACCTAAGTAAGTATGTTAAGGTAATTTGTTAATATACAAATATAAATGTAATTAATATAGTTTAAAATATTTCAAAAATTGAAATTATGAATTAATTAAAACTGGTAGAAATTGAATGTAAAATCAGTGACCATGATATATTTTAAATAATTACTGTTAACATTAGTGCCTACAGAGTGTTTTATTCGTATTGACAAATGTAATGATGAAGTATAGGATATATTTGCATGCTGCCTTTTCTGAATTATTGAAAGGGTGTTGCTATATAAGTAAATTATAAATGGTACATTGAGACAAATTCTGATTTCAAAATGAGATGTGATTTGATAAGATTTAGACATGGTACATTATGATTAACCTTTGGCTGCTTCCAGCTTATGAATTCCTTGGTGTGTGTGGATTTCTGGGAAAAATAAACTTGAAATGAGAGAATCATCAAAATATCATCAGATTTTGCAATTCCTTTCTGTTTAGGAGTGGGACATGATGCTCTTAGCACAATTTTAGGTGGAAACTATACTGAATCTTCCGTTCTGTATATCTGGAAACACAAGCATACACAATCAAATTGCCTTTCATAGTAATATAATTCTTAACAAGTTTTCTTTCCCTTGTAGGTGTCTGACAAAAGGGCAGAATGCTTTAATAGAACTACAGACCCAAAGACCTATTGCTTTGGAGCTTTATAAAGACTTTAAAGAACTTGGGAGATTTATGTTGCGCTACGGAGGATCCACTATAGCAGCAGGAGTAGTTGTGGAGGTACAATATTTTTGTGAATGCTTTTATAAATGCTAATTATGAAATCATAGGCTGTGTCTCTTGTTAACCATTTTTAATAAATAAACGTATATGCACTATTAACATTTGAGTAACCAGATCTGACAATGCTAATATAGTTAGTGTTAAAATATTTTGTTAAACATTTTTAATGAAATATACATTTCTTTTTAATAAAATATAAGCACTGTAGAAATAGTTAAATTTTTAGTTCCCAAAACTTATCTTTTAAATTGTTATTAGAAATGTTCTCTTCTGTTTTGTCATCTTCCTTTTTTCCCTAAGATGGTTTATAACTAGGGATTGGTTACCTAGCACTTGCATCTGCTTTTTGCAAGATTTTAATCTGTAGATTAGGTTGAATCAATCCACTCTTCTTTAGCTATGTACCTGTTTGCAACTGGGTTGTCTATCTCAGGATGCAAATGCATCATTATGTCTTGTGCTGCCTCCATTTTTAAACTTATTTCAGTGTAAATACACAAGGCTCCTAGTTTGAATCAGGACCAATTTATGCAGAGAGAGGAACGTAACCCATTTCCCTAGAAAAATGCATGCAATGGGTATACACTCCTGATCTTGATCTTTCTTTGAAATTACCTAAGGAAAATATATCGTCTGATTTGATTGTCATGCTGGATGGGCCCTAGATTTTACCTATGGCCATATATGCATTGATATTTAATTTTAAAATATTGAACTTGAATTGATTGATAAGCTTGGTGAGACAAAACTGGAATCCAAGAAGTCTAATATTGCATTTCTATATGCCTGGCTAGCTGTAATGACCAGTATCTGTCTGTACTTGATACAACATTATAGATCTACACTGCAGGCTTGTATATTTTTGGAGGGAAAGTTGTTCTTATAGTATAACAGAGGATTGTTTTTTTTAAAAAATGTTCAATTATATTTCTGTTTTATTTTAGATTAAGGATTGATTGTGTGCCAGGACATCTGCAATCCAGCCAAATGAAATCATAAGCTCAAATATACTTCTCTGAGGAATCCATTTGTATCCGTTGAAGGAACAAAGACAATTATGTATTGGCAATTATGTATTGGGTACTCTGCAAACATTTCAGGGCCATTGTTGCTGTAGAACAATTTGCCAGCAAGAAAATACTCATTGCACTTTCTCACTGCACAAGTTTCAGCATATTCCCAAACTAAAATGTCATCCCATCAATAGTTCTAGTGGATCGTTTTCAAAAACTGATTGGAATGATGTATTAAAGAATGATGATTCATCATGGAAAAAAATGTTACTTCCAGCCTTAAAGTTTGTTTACAATTTTTAGGGAGAGCTGATGCTTTGCTGCATGGTATTTTATAAATTACACATCAATTGATCTAAAATATTTGAAGTTTTATACAACTATGTTTTCAAAGAATCCTGTTTCCTTCTGTTTCAGAAAACATTATGTAATGCTGCCCCTACAACCTAATTTCTTTCCATCCTCATTATTTTATTTAAATAATTGAGTAGATATAGCTTATCCAATAATGATTAATTTTATTTTTTAAATTGTAGAAGTATAATAAAATAGTCATCTGAGCATAATTTTGGCTTTTTCCATAGTCTTTTATAAATTAAAATCCTGACAAAAAGAATTGGTTTTGATGGAACAAAACATACTGTCTACATGAGTTATCTGATTGTTGTACTTAAAAGAAAGCTCCTATTGCAACTCCCCAAACTCAGTCAAAACAGATAACTTTATAAGGTATACTTTTATATGAGTATGAGAATTGAAGTATGTAGTCTTTCTGCATAAAAATATATTCATCGTTACGTAAAGCTTTCTTTGTTTCAATAGTGTTCATCTTTGAGTACATCTGAGAGATGGAGAAAACAGGAATAATTACTGTATTTTTCAGAGTACAAGACACACTGGAGTATTAGACGCACCTAGATTTTAGAGGAAGAAAACAAGGAAAAAAGTATTCTGAGCCAAATGTGTAGTAATATATTATTTAATAAAATGCCAGTGTAGCAGAATAATTTTTATAACCATGTATACCTTTTACAACCATGTAAAGTCAATTAAAGTCATAATTAAAATAACCCCTTGCAAACAGGCAATAAGCCTTAACCCTAACCCTAACCTGCAAACAGGAGCCTTAACCCTAATCTGCAAACCAGTGTTGGGTTCCTGATCCCGGTGCAACCGGTATGGTGCAACAGGGCCAGGTGTCCACTACATGAACGCGCACAGCATGCGCGTCCGTACTTATTGCCCACGATGCTCCGTGACACCTCCGTGACGCTCCAGCTGCTTGGCGAAGCATCGTGCAGGCGTCGTACGCTCCGTGCATGGAAGCCCCAAACAGCTCAAATACATGTAAGGAGCACGGGTGGGCCCCCAGGGCATCCCGGTTGTATCCCACCATTGCTGCAAACAGGCTATAAGCCTTAAACCTTAAGCCTAACCCATTACAAATGTGTTAACCTTAATCCTAAGCCTAACCCAGAGGTCTTCCAACTTGACAGGTTTAAGACTTGTGGACTTCAACTCCCAGAATTCCTCATCCAGTCATATTACCTCAGGAATTCTGGGACTTAAAGTCCACAAGTCTTAAAGCTGTCAAGTTAGAAGACCCTTGCGACCCCTAACCATTTATAATCAGGTGCTTATCTGTTAGGCGGCTCAGGCATTGGCCCGGAAGCAGGTGGCAGGCTCCCTGGGCAATGGCAGAGAGGCTCGGGCGGCTTTCGCTTCGCCTGGGAGCAGATGAGGCTGGCTCCCCGGGCAGTGTTGGGGCAGCTCAGGCGGCTGTAGCTTCGGCCTGGGAGCAAGTGGCAGGCTCCCTGGGCAGCGGCGGGGATTGGTGGTTGGATCAGCCTCCCAGAACACCGCCAATCAGCTGCCTGTTGCCATCCATTTTCGCCATTGCCGCTATTGCTGCTGTTGCCGCCACCACACCAACTTCTCCCCCCGGTATGGCTGATGTAACATTCGGAGTAGAAGACGCACCCAAATTTTCACCCTCTTTTTGGGGGGCAAAAGGTGCTCTGAAAAATAGGGTAAATAACAAATATTGGAAATTGGAAATCATTCTATAATCTATTGTAATCAACGGTTCTAAATACACTTTATGTCTTCCTTGAATGAGATTGCCCATGACACCTCACTTTTATTTTTTATTTTTTTCCAAACCTCATTGATAAATTGCATTCTCTCCTAGAAAGGCTTGGAAGGAATTAAAAAACAACAATCTAATCCATTTTTCCTGGGTATGGTATAGTTTTATCCACTACACATCGTGTGTTACAGTACAATAATCAAGCTTACTAAAAATGAAATAAACCCTCAAAATTACTGCCAGCATTAAGGTTGACGTGGAATCCTTTATAATGCCATTTTTATGAAGCAAATAATACTATACTGATTACATTATTTCCACAATGTTTATAGTTATAGTTCATTTGATTTGGCTGTGGATGCATGTCAGCTTTTGATCAGTCTAGCAATAATTGCTGAAAGAGGAGGAGTTGAAGCTGGCAAATAAAGAAGTGTGCTCTGCAAATCGCAAATGTAGTAGCAGTGCTTGGACAGTGCAAACTGAATTGCAATGACCCACCCTCAGACTCACTTGATTTTGGAGAACTATATCGGTGGCCAGTTTGTGCCATATTCCTCATATCTAGATTCTTACGACCCATCTATTGGTGAAGTATATTGCAAAGTACCCGATAGCGGCAGGGAAGAGGTGAGTTCCTACAGAAATTTATATTAAAACTTTTTTGTTATTTTGTAGAGTTGTACAAAAACATTGCATGGGGTGTTTGTAATAATTGTGAACATAAATCATCCTGAAATATTGGCTAGCTTTAATGTTATATTGAATTATGTTTTTTTGCCTATAGGAGATAAGGCTATATTTCAGTATAATAACACAGTGTTGTGTCAGCAGCAATAGCCCTAGATCAGCAGCTCAAAGTTCAATGCCATTTCCTTTGAAATGTCTCTTTTACAGTATGTGGGAATTTGTATCAAACTTCAAGGCAAAATGAAAAGAAAAAATATAGCTTTCCTTATTGGCTGCTTGATTCCTTTAAAAGGCCCAGTCAAAATAATAATTGTACCATCTAATCACTGAGGTTGGAAATAAAATACTATTCTACACTTTTACAATTTTAACTTTGACCTTTAGCATTTAATTCCAGTCAATCAAATATTTGCTTAAGTATACATAAATAGTGGTTGAAGTATAACTAGCATTTTTTTCTAAACTTACACTGTGGACCTTTGCCCTCTTATTTTCTTATGCAAACAGAAAATGGATTGTATATTAGATACATAGAAAAATATGTTTAAAGAATAATCATGATTGCTCATTTAATACTGTGGTCAGCAGGACAAGAAAGCGGGAATTTTGATTTTAAGCTTCTTGGGGTATCCAATATGTTTCACCCTCAGCATTGTATTTAACCTTTGAATCACACATCAAAGATCAGGACAAAGAAAGCAGCAAGACAAGTTCAAGCATAACATTTGAATTAGTTTGAATTCAGCTAAATAATGAATTAAATTGATTTATTATATTTAAATTCATGGTATTGTTATATATATATATTTCTTATCTTAGCTAGAAAATTTTAGATAATCTTTGAGAAAGGGCCATATGCTAGGCATGAATGCATGCAGGTGTAGCACATTGAATGCTACTGTACCCTGCGCAGAGAATTTCAGTTACTGATTAGTTTGAAAATGCAAGTCAGTAATAATATGGCCTTGCCTAAAATGAAAGACATTGTGACAACTCTGCAGAATTCTGCAAGAGTAAAAGCTCAATAGTGCTGCCTAGTGGCTGTAGTTCTGAATTTTAATTTGGAAAATAAGTAAAAAATACCAAACGAGAACAAAAATGCCGCTTGAAGGGATGATAAAAACACATACAAATACATGTATCTATATGTGTCAATATATTAATTGGTATGTCTTACCCTTCAAATACATTTGGCAAAGAGCTGTTTAGTTTCTACCTTTAGCAGTCATGTCTAGATCAGTGATGGCGAACCTATGACACATGTCATAGGCACATTTTGTCTGACACACCAGTGTTAACCAACACCCAATAACTATTCTTGAAAGCATACTCCACTCAGTTTGGGAGGTTGTGGAGGCCACATGGAATGGGCTGTCTCTCTCATCGCCTCCTGATCCTCTGGAAGTTATGTGAGAGGGTCGTGCTCTTGCGTGGTCTTTGAGTCTCCCAAAATCATGTGAGAACAGAGCATGCTTTTGTGTGGCTTTTGGAGGCTTCCGAGGCTGTGGAAGAGCATTCTCCAAAGCTGCTTCAAGAATAAAGGCCTTATGCGACCTGGAGCAGCCTCAGGTAGGTGGTAGGGACCTGTCAACAAAAAAAGAGAGCACCACCTAAAGGCAAGGGATGTATGGCAGCACTGGGCTATGGAAGCAATCACACCTTCGGGAACGGAACAATGGGGCTTTTTCAAATGGCAGCAGTAGCCCTAGGGCTAAAGACAAAGCTCAGGCCTTTACTTCAGGCTCAGCCAGTGCACTGTCACTGAGTGTTGCTATTAAGTGTGGCTTAAATGGGAGATGGGGGGAGGGGAAGAGATAGAAAATATTTTCTCTTGTTGGAGAGGAGTGTGCAATGCCATCCAGTTAGGTATTTTCCACATTTTTGACATGCTGAGCCCAAAAGGTTCACCATCACTGGTCTAGATCAAGCTTGCCCAGGAGAGGAACAGTATACTATATTGTAATCGATCAGGATGACAAAAATCCTCTCAGTTTATAAATAAAGATTATTATTCATCTAACCCAGGATGACATAGCAGGGGATCTGAACTCTGGCCTCCAAAGAAGCAGTATTTGTTTTCTGCTTTCTCTTAGTTTCTGTTAACGTCTAGCATCATACATGCTTTTGCTCATGTAGACACATGTGTTTACCAATTGCATTTTTAAGGTGGAAGCTGCTGTCAAAGCTGCCCAAAATGCTTTCCCAGGATGGTCTGCCAAAAGTCCACAGGAAAGGTCAAAAATAATGAGCAAGTTAGCAGACCTTATTGAAGAAAATCTGGAGTCATTTGCGCAAGCAGAATCAAAAGATCAAGGTAAAGGAGAAAACCTGTTGACCCCAGGGGGGTTGTGCACATAGCATTATGGGCACACCCGCACACGACCCCCTTGCCCTCCCCCTTGCTTTTGGCACGCGATCAAAAAAAGATTAGCCATCACTGCCTTAGATGAACAACACAAACAACTTGCCTATTCCTTGTCTGAATGGACAAATTGGAACTTGGCCCTTTCTCACATTCACATTTAAAGATAAAAACTTTCCTTATTTATTGATTTATCTGGTTTTGAATCATGGTGTCTAGCTATATATTCAGGTGCTGAATTACAGTTGTTTCTTTTTGATGAGCTCCTTATATTTAATGTAACTGCAGACAGATATAGCATGCTGGGAATAATTAAATTTCTGCATGGACAAAAAATATTTTAGGGATGGATCTCCTTGTTTGTATTGTTGCAGAATTCTTGTTTGTTTTCTATGTGATAGCAGAGAAACTTAAAATCTAAAGATGTATTCTCATGGTCAAATGTGGCCAGAAACACTTACATGGGTTTTCCATAATCCTTTAATAATCCTCTTGCTTTCTTGTGTTTTTGAAGTTTTACTTTTGAACATTTAGATTGTCTTCTCCCCTCCACTGCTTAATAATTAGACAACTTTCATTCTTTGCTTAAAAACAATTCTTACAAAAACTGTTTAGAACATAAAACCTATTGAAAATATTGGTCAGTGATGGATTTCAATTTATTTTACTATCAGTTCGCTCTTGAATGTGCATGCCTGCGTGAGCATTCGCACGCTTGCACAAAGTATCCGGGCGGATGGGCGGAGCCTCCCACCGCCACCGCTACCGTTTCACCTGATCCGGGGCGAACCAGCAGAAATCCACATCTGTGATTGGTACATTTCAAAAGTATTGCAGCAACATCTGCAAGTATAAAATTATTTGGTAAATATCCTTCTGTTCCAGGAAAAACCATTTCTTTTGCCAGAACAGTGGACATACCCCGAGCAGTATATAATTTTCGCTTTTTTTCATCATCTATCCTTCATAAGACAACAGAATGTACACAGATGGATCACATGGGCTGCATGCACTATACTGAAAGGTCACCAGTGGGAATTGGTAAGTCTTTGTCAAAGAGCTGCAGGTGGTTTTTCAACAAAAGGAAAAAATAATCTTTTTAGGACTAGGGTAATGTTAGTAAATTTAGCTTGTGCATATTGCCTTATTTTATATACAGTTGTTGGAACTAATTTTTTTTTCCTTCTTGTTTTAACCCAGAGATACTCAGTTCCATTTGGCCCACAAAACATGGGTATTGTTCCCCAGCGTTGTCACCAAATTATTATTTTTAATATAACAAAAGGGGGGAAATATTAAACATATGACTGCCGCCTAATCATATCCTCTTAAATGAATTAAATGAAATTAGGTTTTGTTCTAGCTTTATTCACTAGTTTGAGGAATGTAGTCCTTGGCATGCCATTTAAAGGCATGTAGTTTGTAGTGAGGCCCTCGTGTGATCACAATTCCAACTTCCTGCTGGCTTTTCTATTGACTTTGCTTCTGGGAAGCCAGCAGGGAATATAGAAAGTTGCAATCATGTGTCAGCATTTCATTCCAATATTGTAGTCATGAGCCAGATGACCAAGCACCCAGTTCATGATCATCTGACTGTAGAGATGCTGCAATGGCCAGAACTCCAAGGAGTTGTTGTAAATCCCTTTGTCCAACAATATCATAACTTTGAATCGTTGCTGACCTTAATGGTCATAACTCTAGGACTACCTGTAGTTTAAGTGGTTCTGAGTTGCAAGCATCTAGTGACCACTAGATGTCATCACTCACTTTTCAGTGTCTTTTTTTCCTGTAGTTTAGTGATCATATGGACTTTTATATCTCAAATCTGGTAGTTCTCTTCTAATATAAAGCACAGCTTGAAATTTTCCATGCCTTTTCTAACATAGGTAAGTCCATTATAATTAGCTCACTCAATTAGAATATAATTAATTGGCAAGATGCTATACTTTTAATAATGAGCCAAACCTGATATTGGGGGATGGCTTGCCTTGTTTTGCCTCAATAGCTTATTCAAATCAATAGCTTATAGAACCTGAACACTAGTTATTATTCAACATTTTCATTTACCTATTTCCAAGGACCACTAATATGATCTACCTAATGACTGGCTGGGTAGGCATGGCAAGGCGGTTATGTGACTGTGTGGGCATGGCCAATTCGATGTCACTCACATCGATGGGCGCCTTGCCAGTCTCTACTCACCACTCCTCATCTGCCTGACCGGGCTCTTTAGGGTCCCAACAGAAAGCAGTTGCTGGAGCTAAGCAGCCACCATGAGAAAGAGTTGGCAAAACAGCTGGCTCAGTTCAAATTGGATCTGACCGAGAAGTAGGCTCAGCAGGAGCACCTCACTGAGGACTACTAGCACAGGCTTTCCAAGCAGAGGGAAGACTTGCAGGAGTGCATGGCCAAGTGCCAGCGCCTGGAGGCTAAGAGGACTGAGATGATCAGCCAGTTCCAGACCTTGATGCAATCCCACTGGAACAAGGCCCTTTGGCTCTTTGTCACCAGTGGCAGTTCCCTTCAGCCTTTGCCCAAAGCTCCGCATCAGAAGGCTGAAGCAGACCCCAAGTCAGAATTTCTTCCCCCCTCCTTACCATACAAAAAGACCCAGAAGGGGGAGACTCTCTGCAGCAACACAAATGTTCATTGCACATATCAGGCCCAGGTGCCATATTTTGAGGACCCCTAATTTAGTGCAATATAAAAAATACAATTAATTTTTCTGCAGACCATCAAAAGTTTCTCATGGACCATCAGTTGGTGACTGCTGGTTTAGTACATAGATTGGGTGCTGAAGCAAAAGACTACTGAAGCTTACAAAGAGTTGTTATGCTCTGTTATCTAACTGGGTATCAAAAGGGGGCCATGGATTTCCTATGTATCAAGCTTCATGTTTAAACAGATTTGTTCCTTTTTTCTATCTTTTTGAAAGCTGGATTAATTAGTCCTTGGAATTTGCCACTTTACTTACTGACATGGAAAATTGCCCCTGCTGTCATGTGTGGAAATACTGTAATTGCCAAACCAAGTGAAATGACATCTGTCACAGCCTGGATGATGTGCAAACTTCTGAATAAAGCAGGTATGCCAGAAAAGTAGCTCCATTGAAATAATTAAAGCAGTATACATATTAGTGATTCAGGAGAGAAGTAGGTAACACTTGGATTCAAAGAGCTTACACATCAAATACATGATCAAGGTAATATTCCATTGATAGCATGATTTAGAACCCGATTATAGATTGAACAATAGATAGATTGAAAACATATCATATAACAAGCAAGGAAGTTCCATCATATACAGTATAACCCTTATATATACCAAAAGTAGTTAGGATCATAGTCGCCATCATTTTAACAACCCCATAACCCCTTGCAGAGTCTGGGAAACTGAATGGAGCTAGCAGAGTGTTTTAATGATCAGATGTCCTTCCTGTCACCAATGCAGAGTTTTGTTCAACAGATATATCCACAGAGTGTCCAGAGGCAGAAATATCTGCCTCTACCTAGGATTGAACTCACAGCCTCTTGATTGTGAGGCAAGAGCTCTACCTCTAGGCCACTGAACCACTCTAGTTAGGATCATAGTATTGTATTCAATATATATGTTTCTGACTTGCCACTTAAACGGAATGTACTACATAATTATGGTGTTCGGTCTGTTTATGTGATTTTCCTCCTCTGCTGCCTACAAGGTTTTCCTCCGGGTGTGATAAATGTCGTGTTCGGAAGTGGGCCCAAAGCTGGAGATGCTCTTGTTTCCCATCCGGCGGTATCTCTGATTTCCTTCACTGGGAGCACACTCACTGGCCAACAAATCATCCAAAGGTCTGCTTTGTACTGTAAGAAACTTTCCTTGGAGCTAGGAGGCAAAAACCCAGCTATCATTTTTGAGGATGCCAACTTGGATCAATGTATTCCTGCCACTGTAAAGTCCAGTTTTGCTAACCAGGTATAAAAAGATAGCCGCTTGCTCATCCTTCCGCTTCTGGCTCCTCATGACAGGTTTTAATATAAAGACTGAGTATCTTATTCTGAATCAGATGATTTATTTTTTACTTATTGGAATTGGGCAGCTAATAAATTCCAATAAATAATGATAATATTTTTAAAAAAATCTGACTTAACATGGCATCCTCTTTCAGTGAATGTTGTCTATTTATTTAGCGTATGGCAAGTAAAGGTTGTGATATTCCTTGAAAATGATGGATGAGCAAGCTCCCTTTTTCTATCAGAATTTGTTTTGGAATAACTCTTTCTTATTCATATCCTCACAGTTTGCCACTCCAAAGAGTCCCCCTGCTACTGTTCTACAAAGAATATCCCAAAAGATTCAACATATCAGATCCAGTATAAGAGAATTCAGTGATTTACTTTCCTTAAATGGGTTGCCCATGTCTTTTGTTGCCTTGGGACTCCTCACATCTGGGACTGGGTACTAGGAGGGGAGACAACTAGTCTTTCTGTAGCCTGTGCACTCTTCTTTGGAAATGCCAAGATAAAATATGATTTCTCTTCTCGCCTGTTATGTATGAAAGCAGTAGTCTTAGAAGGAATAAAATTTCCTATTCAATCATAGTTCCTCTCCACCCGAATGCTCCTTGTTATTTGGTAAAAATGGATAGGGATACTAACAACAAACTATATAAGAGCTTGCTGATATTTATATTTAATTATATTTAATTGCATAATTGTAAATCTAAGGAGTTGTCCTGCTCTTACTGAAATCCAGAAAACAAATTCTTCCTTTGGTGAACTAAAGAGAGTTTTGCTCTGATACTAATATATTTTGTAAAGAACTTAAAAACTCATGCTTCAGTAATGACTCCTTATTGAATTTCTCCCTTGTCTATACATTGTTCGATCTTGCCAGGGTGAAATATGCCTATGTACCAGCAGAATCTTTGTTCAGAAGAGCATTTCTAAAGAATTCTTGAAAAGGTTTGTGGAAACTGTTAAAAAATGGAAAGTTGGAAATCCTTCAGATCCCAAAACTGATATGGGGGCATTGATAAGTAAAGATCATTTAGCAAAGGTAAACGATGTTGAAAATATTTTTCAATTTGCTAAATTATCTGCAAATATGTTTTCTTCCACATTTGAGAAAGTATCGCCATATATGATGATAGAGATTTTCTTATATCTTGGTATTGATTTTTAGACAAAGAACAGATCTTGTTTTAATCACTTGTTAAAACACTTGCTTTAAGTTGTTTCAGGCTAAGGGTATTTCCTAAAGCTTCCTCATCAAAACTTTTTTTCCATTAAGTAATTTTTCCAGTTGTCAAGTTTGCATATTTTTTTATTGTGCGCACTTAATATGACTAGTTGAAACATCTCCTTAGTGATGTCAGATTCACTGCTGGGTGCACACAGTTGGAAACAACCTGATATTTTCTCTTACTAACTCACTTCTCGAATATATTGTCAGCAGAATTGAAGAAGACATTTCAGATTCTTCTTCCATAGCTTCAAATGTGTCTAAGATTTTTCTATCTTTCTTGATGTAATACAGTATTTAAAGTTTAATTAATAATACTACATGAAATAATGTTCCAGTGATAAAATTGCATTGGCATTTTCTTAGTATACGATTTAAATGAATGAATTAAAGTAAATCAACCTTTAAACAGCTAATGTTATTTAAAATAGCATGTAAAACACAAGAGCTTAACTAATTCATACAATATGTCTAGATATAGGTTTTATATAGTAAATATGTAGGTGTGAGAGAGTATATTCATATGTATTGGTCTTTCATTTCCTTATTTTTATTAACAATTTAAAATTATTGTCTTCTCTAAATACGTTCCTTGTTTTGTTGCTGCTCCTATTAGGTGAAGAAATATATCCAGCAGGCTCGGGCAGAAGGGGCCACGATTCTTTGTGGAGAGGGAATAGATTCACTGGATATTCCTCCAAGAAACCAAAATGGCTATTTCTTGCTTCCCACAGTTATCACAGACATTGATGATGATTCTTGTTGCATCCAGGATGAGATATTTGGTCCTGTAGCTTGTGTAATGGTGTTTGACACAGAAGAGGAAGTGATTAGGAGAGCCAATGGAGTCAAATATGGCCTGGCAGCCACGGTCTGGTCAAACAATGTAGGCCGGATTCATCGTGTTGCTAAAAGACTCCAGTCTGGATTGGTGTGGACCAATTGTTGGCTTATCAGAGATCTGAATTTGCCCTTTGGGGGAATGAAAGCCTCTGGGATAGGTAGAGAGGGAGCTAAGGATTCATATGAATTTTTCACTGAGGTGAAAACAGTTACCATAAAATATACTGAAACCAACTAATAGGAAGTAATTAGTGCCATAGGTCTCTGTGTGTTGCCTTGTCTCTCTTGATATATTGAGAAAAATCATGGTTTATACTTGTATGTCTGCTAAGAGTACTGTAGAAAGGAGCATATGAAAGTAATTACCGTATTTTTCAGAGTATAAGACGTACCAAGATTTTGAAGAGGTAAATTAAAAAAACGTTTTTGCACTCTGCAGACCTCCCCAAAACGGCCCGTTTTTCACGAAAACAGGCCTGTTTTTTTCCAAAGAAAAGGGCATGAATAGCCTTTAGGAGGCTTGTAGACTGCGCCTGCCACCCCCACCCCATGAGCAAAAAAATGGCCTGTTTTTCATGAGAACAGGCTTGTTTTTTTGTCAAAAAAGGACATGCATAGCCTTTAGGAAACTTATAGAGTGCTCCTGGGGGCAGTGGGGGGGGGGAAATTGAGCAAAAAACGGCCCATTTTTTACTCATTTCTGCTCTCCCCAGCCACCAGGAGCACTCTGAAAGCCTCCTAAAGATTATGCATGGCCCTTTTGGTGAAGGAGGCGGGGTTTCAGGAGGCAAAAAGTGCTATATTCAGTGTATAAGATGCACCCAGATTTTCAGCTTCTTTTTTGAGGGAAAAAGGTGTGTCTTATCCTCTGAAAAATATGGTATATGAGACTTTACAGTGGAGTCTGTCATTAGCTTTGTTTTAACTTCAAAAGAGCTGATGAGTTTTATCTGGCTTAGCGTGCCTTTTCCACAACAACCAACTAGATGCTGATGGGAACTCAAGCAAGACATCCCTCTTCTCACTTGTATTCTTCAATAACTACTTTGGGAACCATGCTATCTTTGAAAATAAAACTAAAATATGGTGCCATAAACAGAATTGTTCACCATGTTTAATTTTTTAAAGCTTTTCCAAGTTGGAAGGTAAAGAATTCCACCTGCTTATGTGTGAAGGGGCTTCCTTTTAGCAGTCTTAAATTGAATATTCATCTTCACTGCATAATTCAAACGGTAGTACCCAGCTTTCATCACCATCTGTCCTACCTCATTTAACTTGGATAATTTTAGTAGACCTTTCCAGAGTCTACTGGTCTATAAGCTCAATTTTGAGACAGTGACTACACTGAACACTGTCTTGTAAAGTAGTGTATTGTTAACGTTTATATAAAGTGCTGTATATAATTGATTCTTTAATATTCTCTCTTTCCTAATTATCTGTAATGTGGAATATGGATAGTTGTCAACTTACGACCACAATTGAGCCCCAAATTTCTGTTGCCAAGTGAAACAGCTGTTAAGTGAGTTTTGTCCCATTTTACAACCATTCTTGCCACAATTGTTAAGTGAATCTTGCCTCTCCATTAGCTTTGCTTGTCAGATGGTCGCAAAAGATGATCACATGACTCATTGGACACTGCAACCATTGTAAATATGAACCAGTTGCCAAGTGTTCAAATTTTAATTGCGTGACCATGGGGATACTGCAATGGTTGTGAGTGTGCAAAACTGTCATAAGTCACTTTTTTCAGTGCCGTTGTAACTTTGAACACTCACTAAATGAACTGTCGTAAATCGAGAACAGACTGCATAACATTTTCTACAGCAGCCACCCACAGGATTGAAATTTTCACAGGGCTATCTTGTACAGTCTTGAGATCTCTTGTCAAGTGTGCCTCCTTCAGCATCTAAGAAATGAATAGAGAAAAAGGTACTTTTACTGTACATGAAAACAACTGAAGCAAGATCTGAAGCAAAAAAAGCGCAAACTTGTACATATCAAACGTTTACCCAAGACCCTCCCCCCAGTTACCCCAACCCAATGTTCAATCTCCAGCTCTCAAAGGGGACATGTGGGGTGCATCTTCAAGCAGCCTCGTTCAGTTGGTATGCAGAGACAGTTGACCTTGATCAAGCCCAAACATAAGCCATCAGCATGCACAGATGGTGAGACAAACCACCCTCCATGATATCTCCTCCAGTACCTAGTATTCCCCCCCCCACATATCATGAGCCCCCACCCACCCTGTTACTATGTCAGCCAAAGTAGGGGCTGACATCTAACCAGTAAGGAAAGGCCATTTTAGGGCCATTTGTAGGGAGGATGAGGGGAGAAAAAAGGGAATGGAAGCACATTGAAATAGAAAAGACCCATAATGAATATAGTGTCAATTGAACATCCCCTCTACATCCATTAGGAGCAGCAAGGTGCATTAATGACCTATGCACAGGCACACACAAATTTGGTTAAAGCAACCTTCTGTTTTGAGAAGATGAAAATAAACTTGCTTTAGGGATGGGGAAACCTTAGAACTAAATAGTGGAGGGTGAAGCGATTCATCACAACAGACCTACTTATGAGATGCCGTTCAATACTTGCAAAAATCTTGAATTTTTAACAGTTTTTTCAACAGCTGTCTTATCCAACAAAATTACATAACCATCATGAGGATTTGGTTTAATAGTTTTATGTCACGCTGACGTGTCAATTCGTCTCTTAATTCCTACAGATGCAAATTAATGCCAGTCTGATTATTCAGTTATTGCCAGTTGATTCTCTATGTCCTGAATCTAGACATGTACACAATCATGCAAAGATTTCAAAATGATATATCTAGGTCTTTGCTCAAAACAATGCCAGCATTGTTAATACTCATGTTTCCGTTCAAGTTCACTGTTTTCAGAAGTAAAATTGATTTAAACAAGAGGATTTTTAAAAAAAATGAAATATATGAGAAGCCAGTGGAGTTGGGCAGTTTCATCCAGCAAATTATTAGTATGCATATGAGGAGAAATTAAAAGGAGAATTGCATTTCCTACAAAATTCCTACAGATTAAGGGAGGAAATACTTGGACTGCATTTTAATACAAGCTGATCTAATTTTTACTTCCTGAGGTAAGATATGAACTAGAACTGACATTGTCAATTGCACATTTTTAAATGTTTACACACAATTCACATACTGAGAAAACTGGTTCCATTAGTATATTATCTGAACCAATTATAGAAAGCAAAATGGATATTTTATCTGTACTGCAGACTAGTATCATCCAGTCTGGATCCACTCTGGGACGTTTCTCTTTTCATAGGATCATACAGTTGGATGAACTTCCAAAAATCATGTACCATATCTAGAGATAACTAAGAGTCACCTTAAGGTGAAATGAGAGGCAAACACAATTAATAAATTTAATATTAAACTTATTAATTATGTAATATTAATTATTGTTAATTAAAAAAAACTATTCATAAGAATACCTGGATGCAAAAGATATCTAGACCACTAGAGGGCACCTATTTCTATTTCCTGCCATCCAGTGACTGGAAAGTTTTGCAAAATATGATTTAGTTTTGTTTCAAGCAAAGAGAAAGAGCTATCTAGCTTCTACTTAACTCTTTCTAAAGTTGTCTTATCAATGATAATGCAGAGAAAATGATCTTACACTATATATTTGTGACCAGGGGTGGGTTCTGTGCACGCGTGTGCAGTGCAATAAATATTTCTGCACATGCGCAGAAGCAAAAAACAACATGGCGGCGCCTATGGCACCGCCCAGAGAACTGATTCAGGGGCGTGGTAGGCCTGGATCGCTGCCGGTTCCAAACCGGTATGAACATACCACTGTTTGTGACATAGTTTTCTGTCAGGAATCGAAAGCAATAACCATGGGTCCCCATCCCCCCTCCAACTCCTAAATGCTGTAGTAGACTGAAAGATAGTGACTGGTCCAAAGTCATTCTGGGAACTTCGTGGCTGAGGAAAGATTTAAACCTGGATTTCCCAATATTGCAGTCCACAACACCTCACTGGCTCCCTCACAGAATTCCAATGGAAGTGGACTTGGGGCCTTCCTACCATTGACTTCATTTGCCCTCATCCAGCTTCAAGCCGACTGGACACATGGGACAGGCTTATACAGGGATAATCAGAAAGCAAAGTTCTGATTATCTCTGTAGTGACTGGATTCTTTCTGAACTCATATGCTACTTTCTGATATTTTGTATTGCCAGCCAATTTGGAATGTGCAGGATGGATGCCGAAGAAGGAGGACAATAAGAGAGGTGCCAGGATCAAATCAAACAGCATCATGTTTATTTAAATTGTCCCCATTAAATAGTTACAGCATCAGAGACTCTTCCTCCATTCTGGTCTCCAGAATGCAACTCTCAAAAGGTTTGCAGTGGACATGTTTTGTAGCCCTGCAGCTTCTCTTTCCTTCTTCACTCCCAGATTTGTTCAGTTTGGGCATCAGCAAAGGAAGGTTAAATATTTATGAGGATTAAGTGTCTAACAGGCATTGGGTGCCTGCTATCACAAATCGGGAGGGTGGTGGTGGTGGTACGATTTTATCTCACAGTTTGCAAGGGTAAATAGGAAGACATAGCTTATCTAAACAGGCTCTCTTCCATGAGTTAATTTAACAATGCAAGTCAATCACAGAATACTTGCCATTTGACCAAAAGAAATGCAAATACAGTCACAATCTTGAGAAATGCTTCTGGTCATTCCATCTGTTTAGTAGTGACTTTTGTGTACCTCTAACCCAACTTCTCCCTTAGTTTTACTTAACTTGGGAGAGTAGAGAGAAAAAGGAAATAATCTGTCCTAACTTGGCAAGCAATTTGGGTGTCAATGAAACTATTGGGTATTAAATATTATGTAATTGCAATTGTGCAGTTGAGACTTGACTTCATTCCAATTTCCTATTTTCTCTTCCTTATTTTAAATACTTTGACACAGCTAAACCTATTCTTCAAAGTGGAAAACAAAAGGAATTTTTTTTAGCCAGTGGTTCAATTTTTTTTACTACTGGTTCTGTGGGCGTGGCTTGGTGGGTGTGGTGTGGCTTGGTGGCATGGCAGGGGAAGGATACTGTAAAATCTACATTCACAACCCACTCCAGGGGAAGGTTACTGCAAAATCCCCATTTCCTCCCGATCAGCTGGGACTCGGGAGGCAGAGAATAGATGGAGGCGGGGCCAGTCAGAGGTGGTATTTACCGCTTCTTCGAACTACTCAAAATTTCCGCTACCGGTTCTCCAGAACTGGTCAGAACCTGCTGAATACCACCTCTGCTTTTAGCCCATCTAATTAGCATATTTTTTGCTTTTTATACTAACTGAGCTAATACTGATTCAATTGGGCCTTCTCTGCACTGCTTCTGATCGCAGGCATATGCTCCCTATGGAGAAAAGTTTAACTTTTCTCCATA